AGCTGGTGACATCTCAGCAGACCCAGATCGATGCCCATTCCCAGGAGGCTCAGGGTGAGGCACGGGAGGGAAGTGAGAGGACTCCATGGACACAGGGCTGGGGCTCTAGGGAGCGGGGGTGGGGGCTGTCTGTGGTTCAGAAGTTCAGCCCCTTCGTCAGTGATGTGAGGTGAGACACAGTTCCCCAGGGAACAGGGCCCAGGTGGGACGTGGGTGGCCAGAGGGTGTGTTAGAGGGGAGGATGAGGAAGCCAGGGCCTTCCTCCCTCATTTTAAAATACAGACCCATGTGCAAGCACACTGAATGATGGTTCTTCCCCTCCCCACCCCCCACCGCATGGCTGCTCTGTGAGCACTGAGTTGCTATTCATCAGATTCCAACAATAACACCCTTCCACCTCCATGACGGACGTAGATTTGGCCATGACAGATGGACAGGAGGATATGGTCGGTGCCACGTGGGCACAGGCCACTGGCCGTGGGGGACATAAAAGGCATCAGTCTCCTCCAGACAACACAGGAGACCTGCCTCATCTGTGAGCACAGAGCCGGAGATGAAGACCCTGCTCCTGACCGCCGTGCTGCTCGGGCTGGTGGCTGCCCTGCAGGCCCAGGAACCCCTGTCTGTCTTCTCGGAGGCACAGAATGTGAGGCTGGTGACTGGTGGGTGAGCAGTGGTCCTGAGCCCTGTGTCAGGAGTGTGTCTTGGAGCGGTCAGATACAGCTGTCCCTGGAGTCTGCCATTGGACCAGGCTCCCCCAGGCACTGGGATAGGGGCACAGGCTCTCCTGGGCACAGGGATGGAGCGGGGCAGGTTTGGGTCAGGGGTTCCATCCAGGTGACCCCTGGAACCAGAAGTGCTCACAGGGCAGACCTGCAGGAATACAGATTCACCTGTTACTGGGTCCAGACCCCAACGAGAACAGATCCTTGGGGAGCAGAAGCCCTCTGCCCCTCTGGGATCGCAATCGGAGAGTTCTGGGCTCAGTTTACTGAGCACAGAGGTGCAGAGACATCGGGGCCCCGCCCATCTCAGGGGCAGCAGCCTGAATGTCTGTTTAGACTTTGGGCTGTGTGTCAGGGCCCAGGGAGACTCTGGGCTGGGCTGGAGCGGGCTCACCGCTTGGCCTGCTCTAGCTCGCAGGGACCTGGTACATAAAGGCAATAGTGACCCAAACTAAACTGGAAGAGGAAAAGCGGACTGCCCCGGTGTTTCCCATCACAATGGTGGCTTTGGAAGGCGGAGACTTGGAGATCAAGCTCACCATCATGTGAGTGTGGCTCCTCAGGGGTCTCCTCTGTCTGAATGCTCTCCCCATTCATGTTCTGGTGGCATTCATGGCCCCTGGCAGCACCTCAGAGGTCAGGCAGGGGAGTGGGGGAGGGGGGTTTCAGGGACACCAGGTCAGGCAGGCCATGTACCAGGCCGGGCAGGCATCCTGAGAGCACTGTGGCCTGTTTTCTAGGTTTGAGGGTAGGTGCCATGACTTGACATTTCAGATGCAGAAAACCGATGAGCCTGGAAAATACATAGATGGTGAGTCTGGGGACAAGGGTGCTACCCTCTGGGGATGGGGGGGGTTCTGTCTCCCTTCCTGGGTGCCTGTGGCCTGACACCAGCCACCAGCTGTCACAGTCTTGTTCACAGCAGAGATGGACGTGGACTTCCCTCCCTCCAATGGTCCTGGCTCCTCCACTGGGAAAGTTAGGCCTACGGGAAGCAGGGAGGAGTAGAGACGGGAGGGTGGGCCTCGCTCCCACCTGACCTCCTCTGCTGTCCATCCCCCGGGCTCCTCGGCTGGGGCTGGCTCCCTCCGGGAGGGGCTTCCTGTCCGATGACTGAAGCCACAGCAAGGCCTGGGCCAGGCTGGCTAGGAGTCATCATCAAAACGTTCTAGACTCTTCCTTCCTGTGGCCTGGAATGCTTTCTCCAGGAATGAAGATGCTAAAGAGATGCTTGCTCTACATCTACAGTAAAAAGAAAGAACCTCATGTACATAGAGAATCTGCCCAGGAAGGACCACGCCATCTTCCGCGCTGAAGGCCAGCATCAAGGAAAAAAATTCCACATTGCAAAGCTCATGGGTGAGAGCCCCTCCGAGACTCTCCTCTCCTGCCCTACCATCTGGGCTTCTAGAAGCCAGTGGGATGGGCAGCAGCTGTGGCTACAGGACTCTCTCGGGCCTGCTTCGGGGTGTTGGCCTTGGTGTGCTCCCAGGGAGACCCCGGCTCTGAAAGGGAAGGAGGGCCAGCTGGGTGGGGCTGTCAGGGGCGGTGCCCATCCCCAAGGCTGGCAGGAGTCACTTCCTGAGATCTCAGGATGGGAGGGGGTCATGGAGACAGAGGGTCCTTCTAGGCCAGTGGCGCGGGCCCACTGGCCTCCTCCGGCCCCCAGGTCACCCCGGGGCTCAGCGAGTCCCCACCTCAGACCTCCTGGTCCGCCGTTGGGCCTCTCCACTTTGCCCCAAGCCACTGAGGGCGAAACCCTCAGTGCCGGCCAGTGGCCAGGTCCTCCCGTCAGCAGCTGGTGGCAGAGCTGTGTCCCCACCGCCCCTCTGCTCAGTGGCCCGCCCCACCCCACAGGAAAGACGCCTGAGCCAAACGCAGAGGCTCTGGAGGAATTTCAGAGATTCGCACAGCGCAAGGGATTCCAGGAGGAGAACATATTCGTGCCCAAACAGAAGGGTGAGAGGTCTGCCCCTCCCGGGTGCCCCCCCTGTGCCCCCCTGTGCCCCCCGTGCCCCCTCCGTGGCCCACGTGTCTCGGTCTTGGTGTCTCCCTGTGGTCCCCTCCCCTCACAAGGGCCCTGCTTCCGGTCTCGGGGTGTGGTGGGGTTGGAACCCTTGGCCGGGCCCCTTCTCACCCTGGCTGTGCCTCTGTTTCTACAGAAACCTGTGTCTCAGAACAGTAACTGGGGTAAGTGTCCTCCTCCCCCAGGGGACGGGGACAGCCGAGTCCCGCGTGCTCTCCACGGCCTGGCTCTCCTGCCCAGCAGATGGGAGCCCCTCTGGTCAGGCGGGGGG